TCCAGGAGCTCCTTGTTCATCCATGCAGGCCTCCTGGCGTTTTTGCCTGACTTCCTCTTTGTTGGGATGCATCGCTCCTGAGCTTGAAGGAGGTGATCCTTGAATATTACCCAGCTTTCTTGGGCCCCTCTTCCCTCCAGGACTTTGGCCCATGGCACTCTGCCAAGCAGATCTCTGAAGAGGCCAGTCTGCTCTCCTGAAGTCCAGGGTAGTGAGCTTGCTGTGCGCCCTCCTCGGTGCCCTAAGGATCTTGAACTCCACCATTTCATGGCCACTGCAGCCCAGGCTGCCCTTGAGCTTCACATTCCCCACCAGCCCCTCCTTGTTGGTGAGAACAAGGTCCGGCATAGCACCTCTAAATATTATATGGTCCTGTATTTTATACTGCTAAGACTGGATGTTGCACTTGAATTTGTTCTAGGAATATGAATCCTATATTATTAACGTAACAGCATACAATTATGCAACATAACTGCTTCCCAGGCAAAATGCAAAATACTTATCACCAGTGATGAACAAGCTTCACAATGCGACCTGAAATACTTATTTGCTCAAGCAGTCTTCTCGTGTTCAACTTTATAATTATAAAATTACAGCTGGCAGGTTTACCGTGTCATGTCAATTTATTTCAGAACATACTGTGTCACTTTAAAGCAGCTAAGAACACAGCAGTACAGAAACCTTATTGCTAGCCTCTTATAAAGACTACACCATCACTAAAAGGTTCATCCTCTTGATTAAAAAAGTTTGGCAGTCTTCCTGCCCCCAGCTATTTTAAGTTCCTGTGACAAGTACCATCCATGTTAGGAATTTTCGCAAAATCCTGAATGTTTTGCCTGTAGAAACAGATTTTACAAGGTCAAGTGCTTTAACTGTGACCAACCTGCTTAGCAACCTGCAGCAGGATCACAGAGGCACTATCAGTACGAGTGCTCAGTACTGAGCCTTGAGCAGCAATGTGCCGGAGCACCTATGTCGTATCTGCTGGGTACTGACAAACAGTAGGTGTCAGATGGTAACAGAAAGCAGAGAATGTTAATTCAAAGCACTGGAGAGCATTAGTCATGCTGGATGGCCACAGTAAGTTCTGCCAACATATTCAAGATACAGGTAATAATAAATCTTGGACTTTCTGGCTTCCCTTCTTCCTCCCACCTTTCAGGAAACACACGCCCAGTCACGCTTCAAAAGCAATGAAAAGGAGCAGTGTTAGGCACCCAGATTAAGCAAATTCACGTTGCTTCAACACAAAAAATAAAACAAACAATCCGAGTTAAACAAAAAGAGAAAGTTTGTAAGTCTTACTCCACGAACTTCTGCTAACAGCACCTGTGCCACTAAATGCTTCACCATCACTGAAGCGTTCATCATCAGAGTGTTTAAAGGCTGTACAACATACAAATTGGTTTGAGAAAAAGGAATACCCTGTATTAATCCTGTAGAGGCAGAAAGACATACTAGGCTTTGTGGATTTAAAGATGGTTAAATGGTAGTTCAAAAGACTGGGAGAAAATTCAACAAAGCGAACATAAGGCTATATGCAATTTAAAGGCCATTTATCACGATAATTACACAAGTAGTTGAATGCTTTTCAAACAGAGAAAACGTAGCAAAAACACGCCTGAGAGAAATAATTCCACTGATCATGATGCAGCAGAAAATAATTTCTTTTGAATCACACTTGTTTGCTTTCGCTTGCAGCTTTGCAAGCATCAAAAAAAAAGTAGTATCTGGAGCCTAACCATCGTATTTTCTCAAGAGCGTTACTCATTTATCAGCATAAATCCCATTTCAAAAAGTAATACAAGCAGTTTAGGAACACGAATGCCATAAACTTCCAGTACCATCCAGAACCACAAGTGCATTTGTGTTCTTTGCAAAAGAAAAAAACCCAACCCTGTAACCTGTGTGCCTAAATCCCTAGGACTTTTTGAAATTACTAACTCTACAAAGTTATTCGCATGAAATAATAGCAACAACCGTAAAATGGCATATGTAAGACACTGTAATATTAATTAACACTGCCAAGAGTAAAAAAGAACTTGGACAATTCTTGCAAATTCTTGTGTATATTTATCAGATGCCATTGTGATTAAGAAGTCTTTTGTGAATTTTTAGAAAGGGATGTTCTTAAGCTATTTCCTTAATTCTGCTCCGTGTAAAATCGCAGTACTTTATCAATCCCTCCAGAAGTTCACAGAAATTTTCTTGGGACTTCGCTAAGCGAAGTTGTATGTATATGCATACAACATATGCCTCCTGTCTGTACATACAGTAGAGACTGAAACCAAAGTGCCGAACTTATTAGCATGTTGTTACTTTATGTCATGCCGTGTGTATCTGTGACTCGTGTGTGCCAAAAGCTCCCTCAAGCGAACGGTCTCCTCAACCTTCCACCTTACGCATCTTCTTACACAAATGCTTCCAATTAGGCAGAACTCCTCGATGTATGTATCTGAAATAGGTGGCATTGATCCAAAAAATTTACTGCTCGATTTCCTCTTTATGGGAGGGTCAAACCGAGCTTTGGGACAGCTCTACATTTAAATTTTAAAATCTGAAGTCGGGAAATGTTCTCATTTGTTGATTTGGTTCAGATAAGCTTTTTCTGAAAAAGATGTAGGGGTCCAGCATTTTGGTTTGGGTCAGCTTGTGGCATCTTTATTCAAACGCCATAATGACTACACCATTAAAAAAAGGCCATTACATAGAACTTCATTTCAAGCACTGCAAAATGAAGATGATAAAGTACTTAAGCAGCTATCTTGAGCCTGTATTACAGGCTATGTAAGTGATACGGAATAGGAACTTAGCAAAGTCGCTCACCTTCTTCGTCTGAAACATCCAGGACCTCAGTCATTGTCTCAGGTACATTTAGCTTGTGCTTCTCTGTTACAGTCTGCAAAGACAGAATCATCAATCCTCAAATTAAACACCAAAAGAAGCAGCAAAGTTTACAGCAGGATATTTTCAACAGCAACAGCAGTGGGATCTGCTGAGGCATTTTATAACGTGTTTCTCCTTCCCCTAACCTTATTTTTCATCTTTACTCCAGAAGCTCCTATTCTCAGTGCTGTATAAGGTGACATTATTCTGGCAGAAAAGTACAAAAAAATAAAGATAATGAGCTGGTCAGAGGAATAAAAGAAAAGAAAGCTCTCAGCAAATCTATTTATAAATGGTGCATGTAGAACAATTCAGCTCAATGTTTCCAAGATGATTTTAAAATGAATTAGGTAATGTCTACAGAAGAGCTTCAGAAAGTTGTATGTGGCATATGGAAATTATTAAATCGTAAAGCATTTGGAAACGAAGTTATGAATGATGTGAAATTTTTGAACTAAAAAAAGATGTGAAAGATTTACACAGATCACTTGAAACATTTCTTCCCCCCAGAAAAGTGACTACACCGCATATTAATGATATCCTTTTCATAGATCATGTATATTCCCCCAAATCATGTACGCATCAGGGGAAAAAAAGGTTATTTGAAGATTCTGATATATTTTGTGCACCTAAAAGCTTAAAATACTGTGATACAAGGCAAGTATGGACCGAGGACTGCTGGGAGGACACTGTTTAAGCGTGAGAGCACAGAGCAGGAGAACACTGGAAGACTTCTTTTTTATATGATTTTGTCTTCATAAAGGACTGCCAGGAGGAAACAGATGATGTTCAGGGGTGCTGAATCAAGAATGGGGACATCCTTTTAGCATCAAAATACACACTGGAGAAGGAGATGAAGAACATAACGAGAGAAATTGTAGGAAGTGCAAGGTGTGAAAAAGTTGCCTTCAGGGAACTCTTCACTGTGTTACGACACAGGAGACAAAATGCCAAGGACTTAAAAAAGAGCAGTGATCAGAACAGCATTAGTCACAACAGAAAAAGAAGTATTTCCCTGGCTCCACCCAGATCTGCAGCCAGTCAGCTGAACTGGGGAGCTGTGGAAGGGAGTCAACACATCGCCCTTTAAGGTATGTAGGAGCAGATGTGCCCCTTTGGCACGGAGAGGAATGTCAGGAGGCCGTGTGTCTTGTGAAACTCCCGCTGAGGTAGTACTTCACTCCCTGTTGTGGATGGTATCTATCAAGCATAAATTAACATTACATGCAGAAGTACTGAAAGAGCATACAATCTGAGGGATAATTAATGTCAGCCAAATCCCGAGTCCCTTATGCAATATGCTTTTGGGAAAATGCCCACTGATATCAAGCAGTGAAGTCAATAGCAGGTTTTGTTGCACAAAACTTACTCGGTATTTCCTGATTCTGTTTTATACTTCTCTAACAAACCGACAAAGATAGCATTCTTGATTATTATAAGATACTGCACTTTTATAAATAAAAAAGTTGCCAACAGCGTAATTACTTTGGAAATTTCTTTTAAGAGTCTGCTTTACATTTTTGAAATATATTTAACTGTGACAGCAGTTTTCAATTCACCCTCCTGAGGTACAGGGAAAGAACAACGCCCTTTGCTTCAAATGGCAATCCCAGTTAGGCCTCCTAAATTCACTCTTACCCATGATTCAAGACAACTACTTATTTCTGTTGCAGTGTTTTTCGTAACACACGTTCTGTGCTGAAAATGAGTTTATATTCACCGAATGCCTCCACCAATACGTCTGACTTTTCCCCCCTGCATTCCCACGGCTTTCCTCAGATAGGAATGTCAGGCAGCAGCAGGGTGACAAAGCCAGCGACGACAGATAGGGACGATGCTATCGTTCAGGTGAGGTTGACCTCATCTCTTCAACAATACATTGTAAAGTAAAAAAAAAAAAACCAACCACTGACACTGTTACTAAAGAAATAAACCCAGGTGAAGGGGGCTGTATATTTTCCAAGTGAAGTGGAAAGCACTGTATGTGAGTACCAATTTACTGGCATTGTAACTGTAATTGCCATTGCAATTGTATCTACGCAAAGAGTACTGCACATTCTCTATTGCCAGTTCGTATGTTCCCCACATAAAACAACTGAAAAGTCAGGAGAAAAAAAACCAAAGGCAGGAGGAGGTGACCAAATTCTGAAGAAAGGGGAAAGAAGGGGTCTGCCCAGGAGTCACAAATGCTAGTTTTTGTATGTCTGCTGTATGACCAAAATTTATTTAAGAAAACTTGGTTCCCAACCTTAGCTAACGTACAAAATCCATTTGATTAGAAGAACACAGAAGTGAAAGGATGTTACGATACCCTAGTCCACAAGCTACAGGTATAGAGGTACGTTGTGTACTGTCTTTCTGTTAACTTAGATCTGCAGACCCTAGTAACTAAGGTTTCTTTATCACGATATCAATTTATTCATCAATTAGGTTTTTACAGGCCCCTATATAATAACAACAATCTGGTCGCTGACTAAGGCTCTCAGACTCATTATTACTTATTATTTATTTACAGGGAAGTAATGATACTTTATTTACTTCCTGATTTTCCCTTCAGTCAGAGAAAATTATTACCTAATTTAATATTTGAAACAAAGTTTGGAAAACAGAATCAAGAGAGAGTATGTGCGCGCGCGCGCGCGCATGCACACGTTTCAGAAGAACAAAAAATCTGTAATGCTATCTCTGGAACACTGAACTCAGCAAGAATCATTAATTCTACATCAATTTCCAACAGAAGTTGTGACTAATGTTTTTAAATGAACTTTTAATATAATACTAGAATTTTTTTAATTGATAGGCACATTAGAAATGTCAAACACTCTTAAAATTTAAAATCCCCATCTATCCCTGTGAATGGCCCACTTTGAAAATTGCTCAATGTGTATTTCTCAAACTCCCTACTGTTTAGTGCCACTGAGAATTCAATTATGTACTTTACTTTAGGCTTCTGGATTTAAGACTTTCATTGTAAGGCTAGATTTTCATCTGGTGGCATAGGATAATTCAGATATATAATTCAGGTATATAAACCTTTATGTACATTCAGCTATTACTTACTCAACAGCAGTATACTGTAAACAACCTCAAAGCTCCTCATATATTCATTTGGCCACAGGAAGATTATGCCTGTTTGTATAAGTATCCCAAAGCTTAATTGCATAGCAAACCTTTGAAAGTCTAGCTTATTCTGATTTATTTCCTATTCATCTCTAATCTGTGAGTAAAAATAAGTGCACTTTATTCTCTCTATTGCTTTATATTCATGTGGCTCCACCAATAATAATGCTAATGCAAGTAAGAGGAAAATTTGTTCACAGTTAGACCAAAGGCTTTGGCACCGGAGATGATCTCCTCATCTCAAATGCCAGTGACTTGAATATCAATAAAGCATCGGCCTGTCTAACATCCTCCATGCATCACTCAGCTACAACCTTAGAGAATGAAGTAGCTATGGTGACAGCACCTTTTTTTCAGTGCTAAGTGCTGTGTTCTGGTTTGGCAACACCAACCTCACCATCTGGAGAACTTTATTGCAGGGAGTGCCGCCTGTGAGAGCCTGGTATTTATCCCTGCTTTTTAGGACTTGTTCTAAATTATGTTTAATCAACATTCCTCACCGTGAACGCCACCACCAGAAGTTTATATTCTATATATCCCTAAGGTACAAGATTCAGACAAACCCGTAGCTGAAAAATCTGCTGAGTTTATCAAGGGTTCCCATCTGACTTTTAAAAGCAGTGCTTTGTACACAGACACAGTTCAAGATTTCAGATTTCTCTTATATGCAAGCATCAGAGGTCAGCTATGCAAGTAAGGTTCAGTATTTGATTCAGTCCTGAACCCCAAGCATCTGGTATCCGGTAGAAAAATCCATTACCCTCAAGGTTTAAAGAAACATTTATCCAAAGTAAATAACTCCCAGGTGTCTTTTCATAGTGTAATCCCTATTATTACAAAGCATCTCATACTTACATATGACAAGGTACAAAGCTCCACAGTGCAACACAATGTACAACAGAAAGGAAGTTACAACTTACATCAGGCATAAATGGGAAAAGTGTGCCAGGACACAGCACAGAGAACAGCGAAGGCGTCATTTGAGGCTGAAAAATATACCTTTGAAAAGAGCTAAAGTTTCTCAAAATATTTTACCCGGGTTTTATTTTTCTAAATCTCTGAATAGATACACATGTGTTTATGCACGTGCATGTGCGATGTGCTACATGATTAAACATGAACACGAAATAAATAACAACAAAAACATACAGTCTTTATTAGGAGACTTCTGGAATTACGCTGGAATTCCTTGTCCAAACCTGACTCAGTCTGATCTTTGCAGGTCATTAATAAATTATGGCTCATTCTATTCGTAACCTTATGCCATGTTACGTTTATTCCATCTTCCTTGGTTAATATCAGTGGGACTTGCTGTCAGCATGCGACAAAATCAAAATTATTTTCCCATTTCTTTACACGAGACTTTGGATTTCTTCCCTTCCTCTAACCCTCTCCCTGACTGAGTAGTGGCATCTTTTAGGTGATCTGTGGATTTTTACGGCTCTGAGCTCCTAAATGACATCTAGATCTGACAGGTTTTCTAGACTGCTAATCTTTCTTGCATTAAAAAAAAAAAAAAGCATGACCTTACAACAGTGTTTCAAGATAAAATGCAGTAATGGAAATGTAAATTAACATTAATTTCTTAAATGATGCACTATTTCTGATGTTCTCCCTTCCTACCTGCTAAAACGTTTGTCGGTGGGAGGTAAAAGTCCAAGAAGAGAAAACCTTCCCCTCCCAGAGTGTCAGAATATATCAGTTTTTTTCTGGGCTTAAAGCAACAGTACCACCTTGCTGACGTTCAGCACATACTATTCACAAACCCTGAAGTCAACATACAGACTACCAAGAGCGTGGAGGACTGAGAGGACTGAGCCCATAAGGAAAGATTCTTTCGTATTTTGGAAAAACAGGCTCTATTTGAACCGAAAGTGACTTGAGTAAAAAGATGATTGATGTGATTCAGAGCCATCTAGCGAGCATCATTAAGCTTGGCACCAGTCCATGGCTGCTTACAGTCCAAATGCTAAGCAGCCTGCTGTGGTGTCCTGCAATGGTTGAGCCTCAGTAGGTGTCAAAAGTGTGGAAATGTAAGGACAGACTGAAAAGGAGAGGCGAAAAAAGAAACAGGACAGGATCTAAACAACAATGCACAAACTTCTGGAAAGTTTGGGTTTGCAGTTCAGACCCGTATCTAGAAAAAAGTTTTACTCTGCTTTTGAGTAGTTGTTTTCCATCTGTAGATTTTGTTACCCAGCTCAGGGAAGCCCGTTGTGTTGCACACACTTCCACATGCTTAAAAGATACACTGAAAGCATTGTAGCGCTTCTGCAAAAATCCAACAGAAAGGGGGGGCTAAAACCAGAAAATGAAAAAAAGGAAAGAGATACATGGAGAGTCTGAGGGAAGAAGAGAAAGAAAACATTCTGAATAAAGAAGAGAGACATTTTAATGTATCTGCAACTCACAGTTGTGGTGGTGGTAATCTCCTCCGTTACAACCTTCAGCGTATCGACCACTGAGATATATCCCAGACGCCTTGCAATAGCTAAGGCAGTGTTACCATTCTGAAGAGAAAAGAGAGAAGGGGAGAGAGCGAGCGCAGTGAGAGGGAGGATTGTGATGTGAACCAATGAGATCACTCTCAACACTGCATGAGCCAGCATTTCCATCCAAAACAAGGCACAGCCTAGGAAAATCACTGTTTTTTTACCGTTACATCTGACTCTGTCTTTGTAACTTCTTTAAGACTATAGCCCTGATTACCATGGTAACACAACACACTTACATCTGCCTGCTATTCTAAATAAAAAAGTGCTGTATGGTTTAACCCTTCAGTGCTCAAATTTCACTATACAGAATGCATCTTGTCTGCAGAAGTTCATGTTTTATTTTGCATAAACGGCACTACATCAGAAAAGCTCTTCTAAAAAAAGTACTTTAAAACGTTAGTTTCCCTTGCAGCTGAAACTGTTAAATCTTTATCAGGCACAGTTCGCTCTTTGGGGATCACAGGATCACAGCTGTGTTGTCCACATACACTTCTATTCCTCCTTACAACAAAGATGTATGCCCAATAAAAGTACACAAAAGCTAATGATTTAACAAACACAAAACCAACCTATATAAGGCTTGGGGGTAGGGAATTAATTTCCATTTAAATAAATTTATTTGCAGTTTAAGTGCCCATGATATATAGATGTGCCATTCATCAAATGGACATTAAAATGATAATTTCGTAAGTGTTTAGGCCTATTTATCTCCGTTTTATCACCTGGAACATTGGCAGTCCACAGTCCCCATGTCACTCAACTTGGGGAGGTTTTCTTTGTAAAGAGCTCTACACAGAATTGTTTTATGTTATTTTGCACTGAACCAAAGGAAAACATGCTGGCCTGCTGCGGCCACGCTCTGCACCAAAATGACTTCTCTTGTGACACCACTGCACTGGGCGCAGGATATCAGCCTGAGGGCTTCCTTCTACTTCAGTATTGGCTTTAGTTATCTATAATTTAAGTTCTTCTGTATTAGTCTGGCTCAGCAACCCTGAAGCAACACAGTGTTTGCGGATTAGCAGCGCAAAATGAATAGATTAGCATCTTCACAGCACAAATAATTTGACTGTTACTGTCACTTGCACATTCACTGCTCATATCCCACTCCCATATCCCCGTGCCAGATGTCCCAGGTTGAAATTCTCTCTTATCTCAAGCCAGAGGTTGCTATGTGTGGACAAGAACAGATGTAGTACCTGAGAATGCACGCAAACTGTGCAGTAAAGACACATCCTTCAGACCCTGCTTGGATTTGGGTTAGACTTGGGCATGACAGCCCCAACACGAGGACTGAAAGCAAAAGAGACCTTCAGCTGAATATGCCCAAAAGAACCTACAGCCCCAGAAGCTGACCACAGTGGTCTCTTGCTTGACGATCTGGTGCATAAACTGGTATTTTGGATAACTTCACAGGAAGTTATTCAATGTGATCGTTCCAGGACCAAACAGGGCGCCAGTGCTGATTTAAGCATGCACGATATATGTACACGGAAACCTGATCCACTCTGGGGAATGACACGAGTTTTGGACGTTCTGGCTGCATTTTAAAGATTACCCAATTAGAAGTGACTAATAACAACATCAACATGAAACAGGACAGTTGCATTCCCGGCTGACTGCGGAGAAGGAGCTGTGCCAGCGGTTATTGAGACTTTGAGGAGGCATTAACATCAGTGAACTCAGTAAGAACCTGAAACAGATCCAGTGGATAGAGGGACAGAAATTTGGGTCTACATCTTCAAAAAAGCCCAGGTTCTGATTTCCCTTTCATTTTTATGGAAAAATCCTTATCGAGATATCAATTCACAGGCGGAAGCGTTGAGGCAGAGGGCAGCTGAACAAGCACAGCACAGCCAGCTGTGGCCAGCCTGACTCTGCAGCTCAGAAATCAGTTTCCCCATCTCACGTTTAGCTTAGTGCATAATGAGTTAGATCTGATCCGAACTACCTTAAGAGGAAAAGGAAAAGACGAGGAAGTCACATTTACACATCTGACAACCAGCTGTACCAGGAATACTTTCACCAAAACAAAGGCTTACTCTTAAGCCCTAAGAAAGGAAAGAACTGTCCAGGGAAACAAGTTCCCAGTGGCACTTCACAGACTTACAGTGGTGGTGGCGTTGGGCTTGGCCCCATGTTGGAGAAGAACGTTAATGATGTGAGTGTGGCCTTGTTGAGCAGCTTGGTGAAGAGGGGTGTACCCATTCTGTTGTCCACGGCGGTTACGATAACAAACAAACAAACAAAGAACAACAACCACCAGTAATTAGATCAGACGCTTGGCTTTGCTTCCTTCTGCTCTTTTTGAGACATTTCAAAAAGAAATTGTGTCATCAATCGACCCAAAGATAATAGATCTTCAGTAATAAAAATACTCCTTCCCCAGATTAATGAAAAGATAAAGGAAGATAATATTTTTATTCACAAATCACTTTTCATCTCACAATATGAGCAATCTCTGGAAAGACAGATAATTCCTCACTTCCTAAATCAGAGGGAGGAGCAATGAGGAACAGTAAAGTTAAAGTGGCATGCTAAGGACACAGAATCACAGCTGAGGCAGAGAACATTTTTCTTCCTCTCACGTCTTAGTTTTCTAGAGAAGCCCCAAGACTTGCCTTTAAAATATTTGAGCCACTTAAAAAAAGATATAATTTTTAACAGCAGTGATTTGAGACTATTTGCTTTTAAAAAGGCTAACAACATATACCTATTACAAATGTCAATCAATTTTAGCTTTACTTTGCCTTCAAAAGGCTTGACCAAGCTGTAATTACACTTAAGAACATGTACACAATGTCTGTATTAATAAACACGCTTAACTCCATATACTTATCTGCTCCAGTGATTCATTCTAACGTTACACAATACGGAAACATAACCAAAGCATACTCTAGCTAGTTGATCTGAGATGGTATTGTGTAAGTCCAGTCAGGCAATTCATTTACAAAATTATTTGCAATTGGCTTTGAAAGCAAGCAGAGAATAAACTGGAAGAAAACACCAAGTTGATCTCACTGTACACTTATGCAAAGCCTGGGGGCAGGCTCTGAAAGACAGGCTCTGAGAGTTCTCTCTTTTGCAAACAAATAGATGCAAGTAATGCTTTGTACTACTAATTAAATAGTGATAGTTCAGAACTGCTACAGTTCTTATATTTACAGTACGTGTGCATGGACTACTAAGAGATCAAAGGAGGATTTTACTGTAGGTTGTAGTGCAAAGTAAATCCGTGCAGTCCTTCAAAAACAGAATTCAGCCATATTATTTTTCACTGAATGGGTGCACAAAGCACCATGTGGACTTTCTCTAGTTAAAGATCAAGCTGCAATAGAGGTTACTTATTCTTTAGCGTGCCTATCCTGAATCCAGCCAGGATGGATTTGCTCTTTAAACTGAGTCCACAGCACCAGTTGGCAGATTGCCAGTATTTTTATTGGTCCCTAGGACTGAGATTTTGGAGAACCACTGCCTCATACTCTCACACAAACTTGCTGACTTCAATGAAAGTATTCTAAATAAGTGAAATACCTGGGAAAATGGCATCAGAATCTGGCCCAGTGGCCCCTTAGGCATAGAGTGAGACCTAATACTAAAGACGCAAGTACGTCTGTCCCTTTAGTTAGCCTCCAAATACCTCAGCTGAACGTCTTGGCAGCTAACATTTGGATCCTGCTAGTGTCTGCTTTATTAATTCTTATCAGCTGTTTTTCTAGTAGTGTTGCCTGTTCTTTTGGAATCCCTGTTTTTTGCCCATTGATTTGGGGTGATCTCACGAGGGAGGGGCCAGCATCTTTTATTTATTTACTTTGCTGTTTCTTACCACATTGAGCTTGTGACCACTGTGATGAAATAGTGCGACTTTGAGAAACGAATCCATCCCATAGGTCGCAGCTGGGGACAGAGGAGCTGGCCAGAGGGACCAGCAGACCACAAGCCTGTGATTTTGACTAGATCTTACAAACACTAAGTATGTCACTAGAAATATCAATGGACTTCTTCATGTTGATCCCACGACACCCGATCTAAAGCTAGTAGCTAGCTATTGCCTGAAGCCAGCTTTAACTAAGCTGAAGCCCTGCAGCTCCTGAGTTAGCCTTCTCTTTCTGATAAGGGTGATGTGATGATTATCTGGGATGCAACACACTGTTGCTGTCACCAGAACCTCTCTGTGTGTACTCGGGAGATACACAATTCTTGCTACAACATGCATCACATTCAGCTGTTGTGCCCACCCGTTTATACTAGAAGAAACCACTGAAGTCAGTGGATTTCGTTCAGACTTTGGCTATAGGCAGTCAGATCCGTTTCAGTATAACTGGTCAGCAACAGTGTACCCTGATTCCCCTAAAAAAAAACCCAAACCTGTCTTCAGTAAACTGCATTCCCCCACCACAGCTGCTTCCTCTCCCAAAGCTATACCACCCACGCTTTGCTCAGCAGTAATTCTTCCCACTCTTCTCCCAGCAGATTGGAGAGAACATGGCATCACCCTCGAAGCGTCTGAATTGTTACTTACTAGTTTGGCAGCACACCGGTATTACACTGGTGTAAACCATGTGTAAATGAGATCAGAAACAAGCTCGCATTTGCCAGTTTGCAAGTAAAAAGAAAAAAACCAATGAAATTCTCTACCTCCTTCTTTCATACACCCAAGGAGTTACCTGACTTTTGTGAACTCTACACAATGAGATGTAGCAGAGAGAAGGCATTCCACTACAGCCACAAATAACCATATGTTGACACCTACCATGCAATAATTACAGTTTCCTAGTGAAAAGGCACCTATGGTATGTATTCGCAGTGCTTGGTTACCAGGTTCATAATAAAGAGCAAAAGCAAGCAAAGAAAAATGCTTTACCTTAGTTTTAGCATTGACATTTGCTCCCTGCTTGAGAAGAAAATTCACCATTTTGATGTTTCCATAGTGACACGCCACAATTAAAGGTGTATAACCAAGCTACAATAAGAGAACAAAGAAGTAAAGCTGCAAGCTCAGTGGAACATTCCTTTTATAACGGTAGCATCCTTTGGCACACTGGAGGCAGTAGCCACTCCATGATTTACCTTTGTCTGAGCATCTTGGTTTGCGCCGTGTTTTGTGAGTATTTCAGCTACATTCACTTTATCCTCTTGAGCTGCAAGGTGTAAGGATGTCAGTCCAGTCTGGAGGTGGAATATACAAAATAAATAAATAAAGATAAAAATAAGACTAAAACCTACTTTACACGAGGAAAGAAATCTAGACTTTCCCACTTTCTCATCTTTAAAACATGAAGAGATCCTAACTATAGCTTCCAAGCATGGGTGGTTTTTTTAAACAAAGTAGAGTTGATGTTTCTCCTGTTCCGGCTGACAAACAGCTCCAAAGCAATTACATCACCACAACCAGAGAGTAAAACTTTCAGGCATCAATGATCACGCTCGGATTATATACAATAATGTCACTTGGGAAGCTGAGGAGCCCATTAATAAATGAGGGAAGCACATTCACTGTGCTTCCCACTCCTCAGACAAGAAAGGGAACCTTGACAACTGCAGGCACGAGTCAGAATGAAGAAAATAACTCCAGAAATAGATCCCATTCAAAGATGCCAAGGAAATGGATGCAGCCTTTAACTAAATGCTCACTGTGATCACGCACATAGTAGTTGCCTGTGAACAAGGCAGGGAACAAATTTTGTAAGAGAAATGAAAAACACCTTGTTTCTCATTGGTTAGGTAGCATAATACATTAATGCCAGACAATGAGAGACTTGGGCCTTCTATTTTGACTTGTATGAACAAAAGCTGCAGGCTTCTGACCTTAAGTAAGACTTACACATATGCCTGGATAAATCTGGTGACCTATGAAGATCTACAGTAATGGGTGGGGGTTTTTTGAAGAACTTGTTTTCTGTGAAAAAGCTGTCATGTACCATCATAAAAAAAAATTCAGAAAAATTGGAAAGGTCCTCCATAGGATTTTTCTCATTCACTACTCCGCTAATAATGTTGTTTTGTTATTGGCCAGACACTGCCAATTTCTTCCACTTGGAAAGAAGGCTGAAGGGTAAATGTACGAGGAGAAGCGCCTTTGCTGGCAAGAGCACTGAACTGTTTTAGACTGTAGCTCTCCGGTTTCTGATACATGTTGTTAAATCTACCCACGGACCCACGAACTCCAGAATTTTACATTCCTCTTCCTTTGAATCTAATGTAAAACTTCAGGAGCATATGCAAAACACCTGAGTGTGTTGCAGCACAACAAAAATACTGCAGTCCTGCCCTCCTGAATGCTCAGAAACAATTTTCTCTTCATCTGCCTTTCCTACTGTAACCTCTCTACCAGAGCTAGGTGTTACATCGTTTTCCTCCAGTCACAGCAAACAGCTGCAGCTCCTCCCGTGCGTTACCCAGTACGGCTATTAACTGCATGGTATAAGTTAACTGGTCAATCCATCTGCCAGACCTAGATATCTTCTTCTCGCTTTTACTGTTCGCCCACCTGTTGTCACTTCTGCAGACTCACAAATATGTACATAAAGAAGTGAAGCTGAGAATTCCTGACAATGTGACATCATTTCTACACCGCACTCTGCATCTTACTGGATACGCCCACCCACAGTATTTCGCCACACTGGCCGTGAGTTACCTTTGTTGCCACGTGGATATTGGATCCTTTCTCCAAAAGCAAGGTCACCATGTCAGTGTGACCTTCTTGGGAGGCCAAATGAAGCGGGGTGACTCCCTGCTTGGTCAAAATGTTGGTCTCAGCCCCATAGTTCAATAGAGTGGTAGCTATCTGCATCTGATTTTTCTTGGCAGCAATATGCAGAGGGGTGTATCCATTCTAGAAAACAGTCAGAAAACCAGTCAGAAAACAAAATGAGAATGAAGTTAACACAACAGCCATCTAAGCCTAAGAAGTCAGACACCATAGAACAGTATTATTTTGTTACCCCTTAGTACTAGAGACGAGAGTTCATTAAATTTTCAAGGCCAGACATGTCCCACATGGCCCTGCTGTTGTGTTGCTTTGTCCGTCTGTTACTTTCGCCACCTAAACCAGAACAAAGCCAGCCCTCGCTAGGGTGGGCAGAACTGTTCAGCTGACACCTTCAAATTATCCTGAGTTTGACACCTACATTTCAAACAACTTATGTTGTAAATATTCACTTTTGACTGATGAGTGACATTCTCCGTGATGAGCGATGGGCGCACGCTCTTAGTTGCATTATGCTTTTTCGGAGCGTGCGAGTAGAGGTGTGTTTGCATATGGAATTTTGATACATGTGTCAGTCACGGCACCGGCTGGAAACAGCAACAGGGAGGAATGTTTTTTCTGATGAAATTAACCGTTTCAGCAAAGCAGAACGGCATTGATGGTACTTTCTGGCAATAAGACAACTGCCCACCTTTAGTTGCTTTACAACGCACCGTGGGGGAAAATTCTGGGTTACGGCAGACAGTCCCTCTGGAGGCGTTTCTTTTTAAGAGGGAGCTTAACTGTGGCTTTCGCGGCTCTCCAGGCACCGCGATGGAAACGACAGCCCTGACACAATCACTTAACAGACGGGCCGCGTTTTTTTGGCAGCAGGTACAACAGCAGCCTCACAGGGGGGCAGAACATTCTGACATCAGCACCAATCCGCTCGGTATTTTCCCCTTTTAGCGGCCTTTGCCTAACGCAATGATAGCACGACACTGTTCCTAACCCCGGAGGGAATTCTCCGCGTGCGTGGTCAGAATATACACGTCGTTTCTAACATTACGCAGTACTAAAGTGACTTCCAGCTGCGACTAAGGCTCGCAGCCGTAAAAAA